AAAAACTCGGAACGCATGAAAATAAAAACAGTTAAACTTTTATAGATGTTAGACATCATTTGAAAGCTTAGATTCACCAAGATCATTTTCTGGACCCAGCGACCATCAAAGCACAGTTAACTCAGATAGAGCAGCATGAGCTAAAGCAGCCACAGCTACATCCCTCTATAGGCGTCCAGAAGTCATTTTATAAATCTAATCTTCTATTGTTTATATTCCGTTCTTCCATACGGGTCCACAGATTAAAAGTAATCCAGAATATTCAGAATAAAAATATTCTGTGAATATAAAACCACCACATAACGTCTGTTAGGTTTCTGTGTTTTTCTTTTGAGTATCCAGTTTAGCTTTTCTCCTTGTTTCTTAGTTTTTATGGTTTAATTCTTAGTTTTTTGTGTTCCGTGTTTTTTTCTCATTAACCGTCTCAGTTTTGATCCATTTTTGCTTTGCTCTTTGTTTTCTAGTGTTATTGGTTTTATTTTTTATTTTGCTATGTTCTCTAGTTAATTCTTAGTTACTGTTTTAGTCTTGGTTCTTTTATGTTTTCTTTTGAGTGTTTAGTTTTACTTTTCTCCTTGTTTTAGAGTCTTAGTGGTTTAATTATTATTATTTTGTTGTTATTTCCAGTCTTCCATGTTTTTTCATTTGTTGCCCTCTGCTGCCCTCTTGTGTTCTCCTTTTTCCCTACCTCTTTTCCTCTCTTGCTCTGTGCGCACCTGCTCCCAGTTTGCTCCTTAGTCTCTCTTTGTTTCTGTCTCCTATAAATAATAAATCTTGCTGTTTAGTTCCTCTTTGCTGGGTCCTGGTCTAACCTCTTCAGTCTTCGTCTCTCTGAGCCTTCCTCCTTGAGTTTTCATTCCCTGATGTCTCCATGGTTTTCTTGTTTGTTTTCTTCTTATTTTTTTCATGTTTTGAATTTTTTTGAATTTTGGACTCCTGGTTTCATGTTTGTTTTTTTTGTGACTTTGTTTTCATTTTGGATTCTTGGTTGGCTGTTTGTTTGGACTTTTTCAGTTAGCCCTTCATTAAACCAACTAAAACTTCACCTCTGCCTGCCTGCCTCTGCGTTTTGGTCCACAATCCTAACCAAATCCTGACAACGTCTGTTTTTTGACATAAAAAAAACTTAGTGGTCATAGCTAATGCTTAGCATCTTGCTAATAAGACTTCCTCAAACATATGCCTGTGATGTTTGGTTTGTTTGTTTTCATCGCCTTCCTGCCAACAAAACAAGTGTCTGCTTCTATGAATGATGAAATGAAAGATACTCACCAGTCAATCATCAGATCAAAATGAAAAAAAAGTGGAAAAATATTTAGTTCAAAAATATTTTGTGGCCATAAAAATGCATCAGTTTGATTTTTGGGGGTAAAATTATTGTTTAAAACCAAGAAGCACAATTTCAAACAATTTGATGAGGTTTTGAGACACTGATGACTCCAGAAGTTAAAAGTCTCATAGCTCTAGAACTTTTATACCTAGAAGTCTGAAATTTTCTGCAGTAGTTGTTGACATGATGCAGAATAATTGTAAAACAATGACACATGCCTATTTTGAAGCATGTTGTTATTACTGCTATTCAAAAAAGACCAATGATTTTCAGGAAGAAAAGAAACAACTTTGTGTCATTTTTGAACCGATTCACTAAAAGAACGATTTATTTGAGTATTTTATTTTAAACAATACGACTTGGAATTATGGGTAATCCAGAGCGTAGATAAGCATCTCCCTGAAATACATTTTTGAAACTTGGGATGTCTGTAACATGTGGTGGTGCGCTGTCATCAATGGTTCAATTCAGTCACTATTTTTGCGTGTGTGATCATATACTACTGAGAAATGCATAATTGTATCTTCTTGGCCGATTTATGGAACTGTCACCGTATCCTGAATCTTTATCAGGTGTTATACTTCATATGGGGTCCAGATAACGTTGTTGTCGTTACGCACTATTTTAATTTATATTTTCAGAAACTAGAAGGTGTTGGCTTTTAAATTATGCATCACATGTAATCTGGGCTTAAAGTTCAGCAGTTATTTGCTTTTCCATTTGGGCGAAGAAAATAGGCGAGGATTACCTGGAATTATGAGGATGTTTTAAAGCCTGAAATGTGGAAAAGGTGGAAAAGTTCCAGCGGGATAAATACTTTTGCAAGGTACTGTATATACTGTGCAGCGTAGATGAATAAAGAGAAAAGCAGTCATCTCCCAAATTCTAAGAGTAGAAATGCAGGCTTGAAATGCTATAGATAGAAAAATCTTTTTTTTACCTTTGAATCTTTCTATGATGTTTGTCGCTGGCAGAGCAGCCATAGTGCTCAGAAATAAAGACTAAAAAGCTTTAGCTGACAGTGATCTATTTCTCTTAAGGGATGAGGATGCATCTAGAGCATCTAGAGTTAGATGCTGGAACGTCATTCATCTACCAACATCTGCTCATCATGCAGGCGTCTCTGCTCATCTGATTTACAGCACAACTCGGCGTACACTCAGTGACGCCGCCATGCCTGCACACAGAGAACACCAGATGAAGGAAAAAAATGTCTGACTGGCATGTTATTTGTTTTGTTACTTTTGTTTTTCAGCAGTTTAAAGTTTAAAGCTAACTAGTCTGCAGTTTATCGGAAACACGCTGAGCAGCTTCTCCCTCCTTGAAGGCTGGAAGAAAACTGATCCACACCTGCTCCCGATTAGCTAATCAGCTAATCGGGAGCAGGTGTGGATGGAAGAGACTAGAAGGGAGCTAGAGGAAAGGAGACAGGCACAAGGGGGCGACAGAGAGGAACTAAAGACTGGCTTAAATATAAAATATTAAATATATGAAACAGAATTACTGAAGATCAAAGTCCCTAAAGGAGAGAACCTTGACAGTTAGCAGCTCCTGGGTGGAAGAAAAACAACTTGCTACGGTTGCTAAGGTTACGCATCATAACAAATGTCCAAAAAAGGATCAGAAACTAAAAAGAACACCAGAATCAAGCTAGCAGAGCTAAGGCTGAGCTATTCTCTGGTACATCCAGGAATGTCAGGATGAAAAACACTAATAAATACGGATTTCCTCTCATACCCATGAAAACAAACTATAGACAAAGACTTTCGTTTTATTAGTTTAATCACAAAAAGCTGGCCAATGTTAGAAACACTGAAAGTATGCATTTACGGTTTTAGCTGCCTTGAAGATCTGAAAATATACCAACAAATAAAATAAGCACAGAAAACACAGAAAGGTTTTCAAAACAAAAGTTCGGCTCTAAATAAGTTTTAAAAAAAATCAAATGAAATATACAAAGAAGAACAAAACCAAGCAAAGAGGTTCGACGTTGATAAAACCTCATTTCCATTGGAGAGTTTAAACATTTTAAACCAGCAAACATGAAGCTGCTTCTAAAGGAAACGGACCTTCAGTCTAACTCACTGCAGTGATTATGGTTGACGTGAAAACTCTGATCTAGCGGTCGCTGATCTGGATCGAGTTTGAACAGAGGATCTAAATAATGTCACCAAACGACGTTAAGCGTCTGAACCTGTTCACCAACGTGCTCCTTTTGGCCCGACAATAAAAACAAGCAGAAATAAACTGTTTATTTCTGCAGACTGAGGAAAAATGACCTACAGACCAAAAGCAACAGCGAAGGATCTGTTTGTGTTCTAATAATGTCCAAGGAGTGAGATAAGAAAAGGTTGACGGTTCTAAACCCTGCGTTACGGTCTAAGGCAGGCGTCGGCAACCAAACTGCCCAAAGATCAATATTAAAACAAAACAACAACAGAACCAATCAGTGGGGAGCCATAAAAATGTAGAAATCCTCTATCAGCCTCTGATGGGCTCTGAGTGAATCATCCCACTATAGAAAAGGACTAAATGTGCTTAAATATATAATAAGCATTAATGATTAAATGTTTATCCAGGAGGAAACGTCTCATCATGTGACTCTGCTGTTCCATATCTGGTGCTTTAGGTTTAAACTCCAGCAGGAAATGAAGGAGGAACATGAACGAAAGTAGAAAGTTCCCATCTCTGCATCAGAGTTCTACCTGTTGGATCTATGAATGGTTTTCTATGCTTCAACCAAACCAGCAGCAGTGGTGGAGTTTGGAGATGCAATCTACTTCTTAAATCTATCTTTGCTCTCCTCTAATTCTCTAATTTTTCTCTCCCTCCCAGCTTGGTGATCGGCTGCAGATTTAACCTTCCCTGGAAATGTTTTTCCTAATGAATATTTTTATTATCTGATAAACTCTCATTGCAAAGCAAACATGCAGCAATCCTTCCTGATTGGTGATTAAAGCAAATGATTCTTCTTTGAATCCTCATCAGATTCCTTTTTTTCCCTTTGGGATCGATGGCCTGAGATAAACCCACCGCTTTGTTTACAGCAGCCACCTGCCTGCCTGCCTGGCGCCGCGCCGTGCCGCGCCACGCCACGCCACGCCGCGCCGAATCCTGCTGCAGGCTATGACCACTGATCAACTGGCTATGACCCAAATTTGATGTTGGCTAAAGAGCCGCAGGTTGCCGACCCCTGGTTTATAAACCAAAGTAGGATTTCAGGAAGAAAATCTAAAAGTTTGGCAAAAAAAACAAAAAAACAGGAAAATGTTTGTTCTTCTACACTTGATCAGAAATATTAAAGTTTCTCATTTTAATTTCTATTTGCTCTCAAATGTTTCTGTTATTATTCACTGGAAAAAGAAGGTTAGACGTGATCTAGATCTAGATGTTTCAGACACACTAAGTTTTTCTGAAATGATTATTCATGCTGTGATGATTTCAGACTGATTTTAAAGAGATTTCTCTGATTTCAAAGATATTTCTCTGATTTCTCAGAGATTTCTCTGATTTCTCAGAGATTTCTCTGATTCCACAGAGATTTCTCTGATTTCAAATAGATTTCTCTGATTTTTCTGAGATTTCTCTGATTTCACAGAGATTTCTCTGATTTCAAAGAGATTTCTCTGATTTTTCTGAGATTTCTCTGATTTCAAAGGGATTTCTCTGATTTTAAAGATTTCTCTGATTTCAAAGAGACCCAACAATCTGAGGATTTTATTACAGCTGGTTGAAATCTTTTATGAAAGGAGAATAAATCAAGAGAAAAAAACGGAGACGCAGGAGAAATGAACCTTTGTCTGGTTTTGGTGTCATGGTTGCCTAGGAGACCTGATTTTAGACTTTCCTCTGGGAAAACTTTAAATCCACAAAGGAGGAATATGGAGAAATGTGCTTTCAAAGGATTCCTTCAATGATGGAACAATCCTGAAATCATTCATCTCATGTTTTCATCGTTTCAGTGCGGATGGAGAAGAAATGTCCTGGATCCTCTCTGTAACTCTGGAGTTTACAAATGAAAAAAGAAAGCAAAGGTTTCTCTGGTTTCTCATTGGTGTGAAGCGTTTTACGTCTAAAGCTGTGAGGGAACATCTGGACAGAGGTTCTGTTTGCAGGCGGACAATTAGAGACAAAGACGGAAACAGCAGATCGGATCATTGGTTCCAGAGACGTGACAGCAGCCAAAGGATCAGACGTCTGATTGAGGCAGATCTATTTCCCTGCAGGTGTAACTGCTCATCCAGGTGCTGCCAAAACGTGTTCTGATAACCCCACATACAGCGAGAAGCAGAGAGCAGGCGGCGCGTCGGTGCTCAGGGCGGATCTAGGAACTCCTGATCATCTCAGCTTCCTGTCCACATAGTCATCAATGATCCAGGCAGCTGAACAAACGCCGCTCAGCTCGCCGTTAGCTCCGGCTCTGATGGCGGCTCCAGGCCCTCGCCTGCTTCGTCCAGCTGGTCCTGTATCTCTGTGAACGCCGGGCGCCGGAAGGACTCCACCTGGGAGCAGGAGACAGACCAGCTGCATCAACATGATCTTCTGCTGGGAAACTAACATCTCCACAAGAACCATAATAATATAATATGTTTAT